AAACCCCAAAACCCCAAAACCCCAAAACCCCTTGAGTGAAATGCCAGAATATTTAAGGCTTTTCATTCCTTAAAAAAGTTTTAATAATTTATATGCCAGTATTTATCAGGTATTATTCAAATTTAAATTATTAATTATTTCTTCAACATTAAATTGAATTAGCTATAGAAACTAAAACTACTCCTATAACACATATCAGTACACCTAACCCTTGCATCCAGTTAAGATTCTAGTCGAAAAATATATAGTTACACAAAGTTAACAGAATACATTGGGTGCTCATAATTGAATTGCAAATTCCTGGATTTCCTAAATTGCAAGCTACGTTAATACATACAATTCCTAGTCCCAAAAAAATGCCAGATGTCAAGGAACTTAAGTAATTAGCAAGAGTGAATGTGGCAAAAACTTCAAAATCGAAAATCATTAGGTAGAATAGGCATGATATACCATAGAATGAGCCAAATAGCAAAAATGAAAAGCCTATTGAAAAACTATCTGAAACTTTCATTTTCATTAGGAATTTAAGAAGGAGTAGTTGAGAACCAAAAAGGATACCAGCAAGCAATCCACTCAAGAGAGCAATTATTCCAGTGAATTAATTATTTGGTTAATCGATTGGCGAGTTATCATTTGAAGCTAAACTTTAATCTTCTTCATTACCTTCGCTTCTATTGAAAATAGTCACAATCGAAACAGCAATCACTATTAATACTAAGCCAATCAATTGAAGTGGTATAATTTTTTCACGAAATAAAATAAGTGATGCTACCAGTATATAGAAAGTATTGGAACTGACAAGTGCAGAAACAATACCTTGGTTTATACCAACTAATTGTGCGCTCTAAAAGCCATTGGTAAGAAATTGATTCCCAACGAATTCAAATGATCCACCAATAAACATTAGCACAAATACTTTCAAATTAAATTTGAAAGTAGAATTCAGAGTATCAGGCTTAGTATACCACGGCATTTTGAACAGTTAATTTCATTTTCTACTCTCAAAGTATTAATAGCCAAAGAAAATTAGACTGCAAAGAGAAAATGAAGTTGTAATAAGGGCACTGGTGAAGAAAATATTTTATCCGTTTAGATTTCTCGAAACCCCTGAAGAAGCAAATAAGATCGAAGATAGAGTTGAGAATACAAGATATCCATACTTCTTCATGAAATTCCCTGAAACATCCTAAGACTTTTATTTTGTTTTAAGCAGTTGTGTCTATTCTATTTCCATTGCCAACTAATTTAAAATTTCAATATTAAGCTATTACTTGCATGGAAGTATTTCAGTCGTGTGGGGTTTTGGGGTTTTGGGGTTTTGGGGTTTTGGGGTTTTGGGGTTTTGGG